CCCACGCTTCCCCTGGCCCCACACCTCCCCTGCCCCACAGCTCTCCCTGCCCCACAAGTAGCCCAGCCCCACAGCTCCAGCTCTGTCCAAAATTCCAATTTTCGGGTCTAAAATTCCAATTTTTGGGTCCAAAATTCAATTTTTTGAGTCTAAAATTCCATTTTTTGGTCCAAAATTCAATTTTCGGGCTCAGAATTCAATTTTTTGGGGTCCAAAATTCCTTTTCTGGGGTCTAAAATTCCAATTTTTGGATCCAGAAAGCGGATTTTTGGGTCCAGAAATCCATTTCTGATCAAAAATTCCATTTTTTGATCCAAAATCCAATTTTTGGGTTCAAAATTCAAATTTTTGTTTCCAAAATTCCATTTTTTGGAGCCAAAAGTTCAAATATTTTGGTCCAAAATTCCATTTTTTGGCACCAAAATTCCATTTTCGCGTTCCAGAACGTGGAGTTTTGGGTCGTTACTGGAATTTTGGGTCCAAAATTCAATTTTTGAGCCCAAAATTCCATTTTTTGGTCCAAAATTCCATTTTTGGGGTCTAAATTTTCATATTTTGGGTCCAAAAATTCCAAGTTTTGGGTCCAGAATTCCATTTTTGGGGTCCAAAATTTTTTTGGGGGGGTCCAGAATGTGGATTTTTGGGTCCTTATTGAAATTTTGGGTTCAAAATTCAATTTTTTTGGATCCAGAATGCCAAGTTTTGGGTCCAGAATTCCATTTTTGGGGTCCAAAAATCCCATTTTTTGGTCCAAAATTCCATTTTTTAGGTTCAAAATTCCAATTTTTAGTTCCAAAATTCCTGTTTTTGTCCAAAATTCCCATTTTTGGGCCCAGAACACGGATTTTTGGGTCTGTACCTGAGTTTTGGGTCCAGAATGAAGGTTTTTGGGTCCAGAATCCCGAGTTTTGGGTCCAGAATTCCATTTTTCGGGTCCAAAATTTCATTTTTTTGTGTCCAAAATTCCAATTTTTGGGCCCAAAACATGGATTTTTGGGTCTGTACTGGATTTTTGGGTCCAAAATTCCGTATT